GAGGGCAGGCCTGTGTGGCAGGCTCCATGCCGTCACCGTCCCCTTCCCCAGGCAGGCCAACAATACTCCAAAGTGGGGCACCTTTCTTCTCTGGAAACTCTAAGACATTGGACAGAAGGAACTGGCCCGATGTGGGCTACGCGGCCGCTGCCCAGCCCTCTGTGCACAGAGGTTGCTGGGGGCCATGCCAGGAGCCTGAGCTGGCCTTTCCCCTTTGGGGGCATCTCCTGGGAAGGGCCATAGGCCCTCCCGAGCTCTGCATGGCGACTTGGGCAGCGCTCAGCTCTGGAGCCGGGCCGTGCCCAGGAAGCAGCTGGAGGAAGGCCAGGATTTGGCCCACCCTCAGTGGCAGAGTGTCTGGTCCCTCCTGCTGTTTCTGGGGCCTTCGGAAGCACCAACCCATTTCTCAGTTACCTCCTCTGGCCAGAAGGCCCCAGTGCTGGCCCCCTGATCACCTGATGGACGCGCCAGGCAACCAGGGCCCTGACCGCAGCATTCCCAGCTGCTCCCCTGCCCCCCCCCCCCCCCAGCTGCCCGGCAGCTGGGCCTACAAGGGCTCTGGGGACGCTTCCATAGGAAGGGGCCAGCACTTTGTGATTGCCGCGTGTTTAGTGTTAAGCCCCCTGCCCCCAGTGCAAATCCCTGTGTTTTGCTATCTCCTGAACAAAATGTAAACCGACACCTGAAAACAAAAGGTATCGAATACCTTTTTTACCCATAAGGGTTTTTACAAAGAATGTGTCTCAGCTAGGAACTAGGACACTCATCGGCCCGAGACCAACTCCTGGATAAAAGGAATAAAGGAGAATCGTGTTTGTAATAAGTTACAGGATTGTTTCTGTCCTGGATTTTAAACTTTTTGTTAAATTGTGAAATTATGGAGGAGTTTTATAGAAAAAAAAAAAGTGAAATAAAGTCAGATGGGAAAGCAGATCTGTGTGTAGAGCCTCGTTCTGCTTGGCTCCTCCTGGGACAGCCAGGAAGGGGAGAGGGGGTGGGCGTCAGGCCTGGGCAGGAGGAGTGGGGACGAAGGAGTGTGAGCAAGGTTGGCATCCTGGAGGAATACATATGGCACTACTGGAAATCCAAGAGAGGAGCAGTGGTGGAAAATTTGATCTCGGGCCCTGTTTTTGATGGTGTGTGCTTTCCTTGGAAGCAGGCAGCAAGGTTGGGGTTGAAAAACAAGCCTGACTTCACAAGATGGGAGAATGGGTGGGTAGGAGGGTAGGGGTGTGGGGGGATGGGTTGGTATGGGGGTTTGGAGGATAGAAGGATGAGAGGGTGGGGGGGTGGGCTGGGATGGGAAGGTAGGGGGATGGAGGGTTAGGAGAATGGGGGATGGGTTGGGTTGGGATGGGAGGGTGGGGGGTAGGGGGTGGGGGGATGGGTGATGGGGGATGGGTTGGAAGGGTGGGAGGATGGGGTAGGGAAGTGGAGGGATGGGAGATGGGAGGATAGAAGGATAGGAGGGTGGAGGGATGGAGGTGGAAGGGTGGAGGGATTGGGGTAGGGGGCTGGAGGGTTGGGAGAATGGGGGGATGGGTTGGGATGGGAGGGTGGGGTGTGAGGCGAAGGGATGGGTTGGAAGGGTGGGGGGATGGGAGGTAGGGAAGTGGAGGGATGGGGGATGTGAGGATAGAAGGATAGGAGGGTGGGGGGATGAGTTGGGATGGGAGGGGGCTGGGGGGATGGGAGGATGATAGAGGGCAAGGTAGGTAGAAAAGGGTGGTGAAAGGCTTCCTTTGCTGAGAGCTGGGTGGCCTGCCTGCTGGTTTGCCCGTGGTGGGCTCGGCTCTGGAATCCGTGAGGCAGAGACCGGGTCCTTGCAGGCCCCGTGTAAGCAGCCCTGCCCAGCCTGCGAGGGTTGCATTCCTAAGTGTCCCGCGCCGCAGGCTGGGGCCCGGCCACTCTGCCCACAGCCGCTGCAAGGGAGCCGACTGGCCACACTCGGGTCCTCGGGAGCCTTTCTTCTCGGCCTGTAGGCGAAATGCCTACTTCCAACATCAAGCTCCCCTGCCCTGTCCTTCCTCCCAGGGAAAGATTCTGCGAGTCCTCTGGGGCAGTTTGTGATCTGAGCTCCTGGAGGAGGGGCAGAGAGAGAGAGGGTCCAGAGGGCTTCCCAGGGTTTGCAGAGCCCCACCGCGCAGTGAAGGCTGACTCCCGGGGGCTAAGGATGCCGCGGGGCGAAGAACCGTCCCGCGGCCTCTTCCCAAGCCCTGGACGGCGAGGGTGCTGCTGCCAGAGTCCCCGCGGGGCAGGCGGAGCGGCCCGGAGAGTCGCCCGCCTGTGGGGCAGCACGTAGGCACATTTCTGAGGCTCAAGCCCGGGCACGTGCGCCCGCAGTTGCTTACGTGTGTTTGCCCCTGGTGGCGCCCTCCTCCTCCTCCCCGCGGTCCACCAGGGATGCCTGGCCTTCAGCCTGAGGAATTCTCATTAGCAGCAGGGAATTCTGTTCCTGCAAAAAAAAAAAGGCTGTCTCTGTGTCATCCTTCGGGCGAAAGGGCGTTTGCACTGGGAGCCGAGCCGTGGGTGGGCAGCCACATTCCTCCGCGCTCTGCCGTGGCTCCGTGGCCCGCTGCCTCCCGCCGTTTCTGGGGAGAAGTCAGCCCTCCAGTCTCTTGCCCCTTGGAGGCTTTGGTCTCTGGTGCCTTTAAAATTTCCTTTTCGTCTTCTAGTTGAAAACAGTCGCATAACGTTTTGGTGATTTGTTTCTTTCATCAGTAGGACGACTCTGTCCCTTTTAAACGCGTTTGCCTGGAATATTTCCAAATCTTACATTTCAAATTTATTTTTATTTTTATTTTTTTTTAAAGATTTTATTTATTTGAGAGAGAGAGAGAATGAGAGAGAGAGAGCACATGAGAGGGGAGAGGGTCAGAGGGAGAAGCAGGCTCCCTGCCGAGCAAGGAGCCCGATGCGGGACTCGATCCCGGGACTCCAGGATCATGACCTGAGTCGAAGGCAGTCGCTCAACCAACTGAGCCACCCAGGTGCCCTCAAATTTATATTTTCATGATGCAGGCTCAAGACGAGCCTGCAGGTTCCAAGGGCACGTGATCCCCGTTCCTGCTTCTTTTCCGTGTCCACTTTCTTACCCGTCCCTCGGGAGCCATCACCTGCTCACGGCCACGACGAGCTCCCTCACAGACGGTGTCCCCCCTGCACACCTTTTCCTCCACGTGTCTGAGAGCTCAGTCCAAGTCCTTACGCCGCGTAAGTGCACCTTAACTCACACCACTAGTCCTGCGGGCGGGCTCGGGACGGTTTTCCCCTGGTCCTCTCCCTGCACGCGTGCAGGGGTGCGACCGGGTCTCCGGGGGCACCAGTGCGGGCCCGCCCGCCCCTGTCTTGGGCTGGGGCTCCTCAGCATCGGCCTGCTTGTGCGTGTGTGTTTCTCGGATCTCCTTGTGGAGCATGAGCTGTGGCTCTTGTATGTTCTACACCCCGCTTGCCTTTCCGTCCTGGGCACGGTCGGCGTCCCTCACCACGCCGAAGCCTTATGTCTTCAGCTTCTCCCTCGGTGGCTGCCGGCTGCTTATTCCTGGTCGAGGATGAGACAAGGTCTGCACGTTCTCTCAAGGCTCCTTCCAGCGGTGTAATGCTGTCCCCCCTTTTCTTGCCTCGCTTGCTTGCTTTCTCACCTCTCGGTTTTGCTCCGTCTGGAGTTCATCCTGCCGGGAGCCAGGGCCTCTGTTTCCACAGTAGCCAACGTCACGGCCATGGACTAACCCGTGATGCCTCCGCTTACCTGAAAGGCCCCTCCGATCCTGCATCCGGGTCTGTGTGCCGGGCTCCTCTCCTCTGCACGTCTATTATTTACGCCCCATCACTGAGCTTTTCATTACTGCGGCTTTGTCATTTCTTTATTACTAGTAGGACTAGCCCCCCTTCATTATTATTCCCTTCTTAGAACTTCCCCAGATACGCCTGCATGTTTGCTTTCCGACCTAACCTGGTCAGCCGGAGTTCTAGAACGTTTTCTTTATCTTGTCGTCCTGAAGTTTCCTGTTCATTTCAGTTTTGGAAATTTTTATTTTCCAAAAAGATGTGTCCTGGCTGGGGCTGGGTGGGTCCCCAGAGAATCCTCGCGGCCGTTCCTTCCGGGTGACTGCAGACAGCCGGGGGCCGTTCCTGCACCATCTCTCCAGAGGGTGGCGAGCCTGTGCGGCCGCCCCTCACCTTTGTCACGTTAAGAGTGTGTATAGTTGGGGCGCCTGGGTGGCTCAGTCGTTGGGCGTCTTCCTTCGGCTCAGGTCACGATCCCAGGGTCCTGGGATCGAGCCCCGCATCGGGCTCCCTGCTCGGCGGGAAACCTGCTTCTCCCTCTCCCACTCCCCCTGCTTGTGTTCCCTCTCTCGCTGTGTCTCTGTCTGTCAAATGAATAAATAAAATCTTTAAAAAAAAAAAAGTGTGTATAGTTTTCAAGGTGAAGAAACCCTATGAGCTTTATCACATCTGGTTTCGACTTTTCCGGAGCCTTCAGTAGGAAACTCCTCCCAAGCTCCCAAGCTGCCCCCCACGCCCACACCGGCCCCTAAGCCCAGCTCCCCAGGCGGGGGGCTCGCCTCCCAGCCTTGGCACGACCGACACTCTGTGGCTGGGCACCTCTCCAGGGAGCTCTCCCGCTGCCCGTGGGGTGTCAGGCAGCGTCCCCGGCCTCCACCCACCACGTGCCGCTAGCACCCGCCTGCCTAGTGGGGACAACCAAAAAATGTCCCCAGATATCGCCACGTGTGTCCTGGGGGCGCAGGACCACCCTGGGTAAGAACCACTGCTTTAGTGAAACCAATTTTATTATCTTTTACCTTCAAATGTAAAACACCGCCCCAGAGGGGGCATCTTAGTTAAAACCCCATCCCTGGCCGGTAGGTCCGGTCCCTCCTTCTAGAAGGCAGCTCCTCGATGATCATTCGATAGGGGGATGGAGGGAGGGGGATGGCAGTCTGGTGATGAAGCAGGAAGCCCCCACCCCCACCCCCCGGGGCCTTTCCTGGCTGCTACTATTCCTCCTCCTCCTCCTCCTCCTCCTCCTCCTCCTCCTCCTCCTCGTAAAGCCTTTCAATTTCAGCTTGGTAGATCCTGGCCACCATGGCCCTCTTCAGTTTGGTGGTTGCCCCTGTAACAGAATCACGTGCAAGGCGGGGCCTCCCCCCCCACCAACGGCCCCTGCAGGAGCCCCCCTCACCGCAGGATGAGATGTTAGCGGGCCAGGTCTGTCCTGAGGGTGCAGGGGGGCGGCTGGGGTCGGAACAGTGGGCGGCTCGGATTGAGGGGCCCAGGGAGGAGAGGTACAATAGGCCCATCCCAGAGTGCCCTGAGAATGTCCATCCTGCACGAGGACCTCCGTGGAGGACCACCCCCTTCACCCCCTGCCAGAGTCCTTGGAGGGGCTGGTGAAAACCGCAGATGCCGCGGGGATCCCGGCCCAGGAAATGGTGGTGCTTTAACGAGCACGCCGGGGGCTGGGGGGTGAGCGCCCGCCTGCTCACCCAGCTCCCCTCCAACCACGGAGAAGTCCGTCCTGAGGATGGTCCACTTGATGATCTTGGCGCTGTCTGAGGGGACCTCAGCGTTGGCGGCATCGATGCCCTGACTGATGAACTCCAAGACCACGGGGTCTCCGTCGTAAATGATGTCTGACAGCCTGGTGGACTGGCTCCGGAGTTGTCTACAGAAAGCAACCGCCTCGCTGGTCAGCGCGTTCCGGGGCTCCCCTGTGTCCATGTTGACCTGGCACTGTTGTTCGGGGACAGGGGGTCAGGCGGTTCCCAAGCTGCCCCCACGCCCACACCGGCCCCCAAGCCCAGCTCCCCAGGCGGGGGGCTCGCCCTCGTGGGTCACCCGTCACTCTCGGCCCTGGGCAGGCCAGGTCCCCCTCCCCGTGGTGCAAATGAGAAAACAGGCTTGACTTGGGGAGACTTGCTCCACACGTCCCTGCTTCCTAGGGGCTGGTGCGGGGGGCGGGGCGGCCTGCTCAGGCCCAGCTGCCCTTTCTCTGGAAACGGGCCAGGAGCTTCTCCCCCATGGGGCCTGGCCAGGGTACCCCAGGCTTGGCACCGAGTGACCGACCCATTGCCTCTCCTCTCCCAGCCTCAGTTTCCCCATCTTGAAACCGGGACAGCAGGCTCCGTCCAGCCGGCAGCCCGGATTGCCACGAGGCTCGAAAACACAGGCACGAGGTACCTTCAGCGTGAGCAGGGCACACAGATACGGGGCGTCCTGGCCCACCAGCACGACGTAGCGCACGATGGGGATGTACCTCTTCACCCGCTCCTCGATGGGGTTCGGGTTGATCCTCTCGCCTGAGCTGAGGGTGATGATATCTGCATGCGGAGAGGGAGCAGGGCTGTGGTCCTGAGAAGCCGCATCAAGCCAGCCCTCCTGGAGCCCACGGCCACCCCTTGACGTTCAGAAACGACGGAGATGGAGCCCGGGCGTACAAAGGGTGTCCCTTCCTCCAAGCTGGACTTTAGTCCTCCCCCCTCATCGTCGTGCTGTGTGCAACCCGCACCACTGTCCACAGCAGCCCTGTGGGGCCCGGTCAGAGGCAGAGAGCACCTTGCAGCCATGTCTTGCTCACCTCTGGCGTTGCCCACAACATAGAGGAATTCATCCGTGTCCAAAAAGCCCAGGTCCCCCGTGTGCAACCAGCCGTGGGCATCGATCTTCTCCTGGGTATTCTCCTCATCATTGAGATACCCCATGAAGATGTTCCGGCCCCAAATGTAGATGTCCCCAATGCCCTTCTCATCTTCCTTCTGCGTCTTGGTGTGGGTGCTGGGGAGGGACTTCCCACAGCTGGGGACCGTGGGCAGGGAAGGGGTATTATAGACACACCAGATAGAGATTCCCACTGGCAGAGGGGCACCCCCTGCTCACTGCTCCTCTTTCCCCGGCACACAGCCACTCAGATCCTAGGCCTTTCCTGCCTGTCTGGCTTCTAGAGTCCTGCAGATCCAAAGCAGGGGGCAGGTGGAGAAGGGGGGACAGGGTGTGGTCCCCCAGGGAGTGAAGGCTTGGCCCACCCTGACTTGGAACCGAGCTTGCAGGGCATGTGAATGTACCACACCCAGCCCCTGGCCACCAGGAGCCCACAGATGAGCACAGGGGACAAGGCAAGAGGCACATAAACTCAAGACACCTTTTGGGTGGAACGGGTCTCTGTGGGAGGTATCTGGGCAGGAGAGAAAACGGTACAGTCCGGGCAAGAATCGGGCATCTCACCTTGTCTGGAAATTGGGGGTGGGGCTGGGGGCTGGCGCTCCACCCCTCAAATTTCGAGGTTCCTATCCAGGCACCTGGACCCCAATCCTTGCCCCGCTTTCTCCCCAGGCTGTCTGGAGACTCAGGGCAAGGCCTCAGAGCTGGCCCGGCCAATGCCCAGGATGCACCTGCCTGGACTGAATTGTGTCACCCCCAGATTCCTAACACCTGATGGGGTGGTATTTGGAGGTGGTTAGGTCTCGATGAGGTCCTGAGATTGGGAACTTCATGATGGGACTGATGTCCTTTAAGGAGAGACACCAGAGTGAGCTTGCTCTCTCTCTCCACCATGCAAAGACACGGAGAGAAGCCGGCCGTCCACACCCACAACCGAATCAGGGACCCCTTGATCTTGCAGCCTCCGGAACCGAGGCTAAATCTGTGTGGTTCTCTAAGCCCCCCTGTCCTGTGGTGCTGTCACGGCAGCCCGAGCTGAGACACACTCCGCGAGGGCAGGTGCCTGGCCCCCCGTGCAGGGCAAGCTCCCGGAACGAGCAAAGCGCCCAACAAGAGTGGAAAACTGAAAGGCTCCGCTGAGCTCCTCTGCTCTGACCGATTTCACGGCTGCGAACACCGCTTCCCTTGAGCTGCTTATGTCTTGTGTGGAATGATAGACTGCGAGCCCCACCCGCCACGTGGCAGGGATTCTTGACGTCGGGTTCCCCACTGTGACCCTAGTGGTCTGACACCACCTGCAGGCAGCGATCACTCCACACGCCAAGGGGCCACCCAGTCGGGCAACGGCCTCGGGCCACGTAACCTGTCCTTCCTTCTGCCCCCGTGCCTGTCCGCCTTTCTGCCCTGCCTCTCTGGGTTTGGGGGTCGAGGAGACCCTGTGGGTGGGAATGTGCTCTGTGACTGGCTCTTTGTCCCGTCTCTGCTGAAGGTTACTTCCATCTCTCCAAAGCCAAGGTGCTCGAAAGATGGTAACGCAGACTCTCGCCTTGACCAAACACCGGTCAGCCTCCTCTGAGCTCTCTTCTCGCTAGCCCTTGGCCTTGGTCTCAAAGCACAAACCATTTCATCCACTCCCGCCCAGAGAGACTTGAGAAAACCTTAGCATTTCTGAACGCCCAAGGCCACATCCCCAGGATGGCTCCATCCCCCTTACATCCCTGCCCAAAAAAGCTCAAAGCTGCCCGGAGAGTTTCCCAGATGGCCCCCCAAGCTTGCAGATAAGTTCTTCCCCTGCCCTTGGAGATGCAAATCTACCACCCAGAACTTTCTCCTCTCTTTGAAGTACAAACCTTCAGGGAGGTAGGTAACTCTGGCTCTCACTCCCAGCGCCTGTGGGAGGCACAGGACCCCACCCCAGAGAGGCAGCTGGCACTGATATATGCCTCCTGCCACAAATACATGAGATTTCTCTCCAGAGAAGCGCCAGTCTTCAGACCCGGATGGGTTCAGTTAGTGACCCCCCACCCCCGCCTTTCCTGCTTTTTGTGACGGCCACTTCCCAGACGGCTCAAGCCCCCACCACCTCCCCCAAACCCACAGACCCCTCTGAGACGTCCAGTCCCTTGGCCCAAATTGAAGTGGAGATCAGTTCACACTGGGCCCTTCTGGCTGAATTAGTAGTAGTGAATAAAATCTGTCCCTGTTTCTTTAAGGAGTGTCGGGTTTTACCTTTGAAAACGGTCACCCGTCCAGAGCTGAGCGAGCCCCAGGTTAGGGAGATCTAGGGCAGGGGAGAAAGCCAGCACACCAAAAGGGCCGTGACTCGTCCAAGTCCCCTATGTTGTCCTGATTTTTCAACAAAGGCTGAGTCCTCCATGAAATGTGCAGGGGGCCCCGAACTAAATCAGTGGTGGTAGCAGCCAGCCCCCAGGATGGCTTTGCCCACCCGGAATCCACATCTAGTGTAGCCCCCTCGCACCCTGGAGAAGGCTGGTCTGCCTGACCCTGTCAGACGTGGCAGAAATAACAAAGTGCCACTTCTGAGGTTAGGTCATGATAGGGTTGCCCGATCAAATATAAGATCCCCACATACTACAGGGGATATACTTATACTTAAAAAAAAAAAAGTTGTTTGTCTGAAATTCAAACATCCCTGGGTGTCCTGTATATTTATTTGCTGAATCTGGCCACCTAAAGGAGAGTGTGGCTTCCACTTTGCCCTCTCTGGGGTCTCTTGTGTGGGGGAAGCCTATTGCCATGTTGGGGACCCCCCCAAGCAGCCCAGTGGAGAGGTCAGCATAGCAAAGAAGCAAAGCCTCCTCCTGCTGAAAGCCAGCAAGAAACTGAGGCCTCCTGCCCACGGCCGTGTGAGGAAGCCAGCCTCCGAGAGGCTTCTCCGGCCCTGGTTGAGCCTTCAGATGAGGCTGCCCCAGCCAACAGCTTGACTGCGACCCTGTGAGGGACTCGGAGCCAGGACCACACAGCTACCAAGCAGCTCCCCGATTCCCAACCCATGTGGTACTAAGCTGCTAAATCTGAGGGTTACCTTTACACAGCAATGAATGTGTTCCCTCCCAAGGGGCCAGGGTGTCAAAGATGGTTGGCCATTAGTAAAAAGAATGGTTTCCAAATCAGAAAACAAATCGGAGGGGCTTCAGGCCATCCCACACAGGGGTTCACTTGCTTTCGCTCATTTGCCCTTGGATCTGCGTTCCGTGGTGGAGAAGAACAGAGTAGGGGGACCGCGTGCACCTGGCCAAGGTCAGCCCTGGCCATCCCCTCCCCCACCCCCACCCCCAGCCATCTGTCTGTCCCTCCACCGAGACCCACCTCAGCAGCCGGAAGTCTTGCTGTCTGGAGAGCGTGTGGATGCCCGTGCTCTCAGACAAGCCGTAGAGCTCAAAGATGGGCATGTTGAGGCTGAGGAAATAATCCAGGGTGGCTCTGGAGAGCCCCAGGCCCAAGTTGAAGTACTGCCGGCAGTGATGGAGGCCCAGGAACCTCCTGGCCTGGTTGAAGGTCAGCCTCTTGGCCAGGCCGAAGCACAGCAGGGAATGGGTCTGCCTTGAGGAGCAGACACAGGGGAGCAGAGTTGGGCCTCAGGACTCTACGCCGGCCCCAGGCGGGTGCCCCCCACCCAGCCCCCTGGGGGCAGCCCTGAGACCCAGCCTCACCTGAGCATCCGCTTTCTGTTTGTCCTGAGTCCCAGCCACATGGCCCACTGGTCCATCCTCCTCCGGAATGGAGTCGACGAGAGCTGGTTGGTCTTCAGGTTGTCCAGCAACCTGTCCCAGACCCACGGGACGCCGTGGAACAGGGTGGGCTTCACCTCCCGCAGTGTGTCTATCAGGGAGCCCTGCACCACACGGCACGATGGGATCCCGGCCAAACCAGGCCCAGCCCTCCGCCCCCCTGCCCCACCATAGGGCCTGGTGTGTGAAGCCTTTCCCCACGGCCGTGGCTGGGAGCCAAAGGGGATGGCCAGGACCATCTGTTCCCACCTACCCTGATCAGCAGGATGTGCAGGATCCGTCTCCTGGCCCACATGGCTCAACGCATGTGAGATTCAACCACACTGTTGGCTGTTTCTATGGTCCCGGCCACCCTCTCCCAGAACCCTGAGCCGGGGCAAGCGGTGGACGGAGAAGGGAAGGTGCAGAGACAGAGAGAGACAGAGATCGAGACAGAGACACACAGAGAATGACAAACACACATACAGAGATTAAGAGATGGAGGGAGAGAGAGACAAGATGAGACAGAGAGACAGGGATGGGAGGGGGGAGAGAACAGGGAAGGGACAAACTCTGGCTTTGTCACTATTTTCACATCTTCCCGGTTACCAAGAGAGAGTCCCCAGCGACCACAAGCAAAATATTAACAAAGAATGCTGGAGAGTAAAATCGGGACGAAGCCGAGCAAAGCCCACTGGGGCGCACCTAAGCAAATGCCCGCCCCAAAGCTGAGCCAGGTTTCACATTATTAAAAGGCCTTTAGAGAGCTCTAAGAAGAATATCTTTGACACGTGAAAGTAGGAAATTGAAGGTTTCGTGTCCATAATGTTTTCCATTTTTTCAACGAGAAATCTGCAGAGATTTGTTCTCTCCCTAAGTACCTATGTGATTCGCCTCATTGTGCCCCTTGGCCCGGGAACCCTAAGTCACTCACTGCCTGGCCCTCTGCAGGACAAGTTTGCGGGCCCCTTGGCTGAGGGAGTAGTAAGGATCCAGGCAATGATGTTCGGGTTCTTCGCTTCTCCCTACTTCCGATCTTGATGGGAAATGTGTGGTTTTCTACACTCAGAGAGTCAACACAACTGTGATTGAGGTCTCATGATGTATGTCAGTGACCTCAGGTGCTTTTTTTTTATTGCAGTAAAATCCACATAACACCATCTTAACCATTTTAAGTGCACAGTTCAGCGGCATGAAGCACACTCACCCTGTCCTGCAGCACCCCCACCCTCCGTCTCCAGAACTTTCCATCTCCCCACACGGAGACTCTGTCCCCGTGAAGCACGGACTCCCCACCCCCTGCCCCAGCCCCGGCTCCCACCCTCTCCTCTCTGGCTCTGTGGACGGGACTCCTCTGGGGACCTCCTGGGAGTGGGGTCCTGCGGGATGTGTCCTTCTGGGTCTGGCTCCTCTCGCTGACCACGGTGTCCTCGGGGTCCCTCCACGTCGTGGCAGGTGTCAGGGTCCCTTCCTTTCTAAGGCTGGATCATATTCTATTGGATGGGTGGAACTCATTTATTTATCCATTTGTTGATGGGCACCTGGACTGTTTCCCCTCACATGAGTTTTTAATGGCTCGATTAAGCCTCCTGCGCTGGTGATTTTTGCCCCATGGTAGGAGGTAGATGCAGGCTTCCCATTCCTTAGGACACGAGCTCATGTCTGCCTCAGCCCCTCCATTTCACAGATGGGGAAACTGAGGCCCAGAGAGGAGGAGGAATAAAGTCGCACAGCCAGCTGGGGGTGGGGGCAGGGCGGGGATTCCAGTGCTGGGCCAGCTGAGCACCCCACGTAGGGTGACCCCAGCCCCTCCAGCCTCCCCAACCTCACCTGCACCCACCGCGGCCGAGGGCCGGGGAGCCCCACTCACCCTCAGAGCGTCCGGCTGGGCGAAGTAGAGGGCTCCGGCGACAGAGATGGAGACCCACATGTCGAAGAGCTGGGCCCCCATGTAGCTGAGAGGGAGGTAGCTCACCAGGATCTCCTGCTCCTCCGGGGGGCACTTGTAAGACAGCCTCTGGGCCGTGGCCACCGTGGTCCAGGTGATCTGCAAGGCACCTTAGCCATCACCTGTAGGCCATTCTGTTCTCAACCCCCAGGAGCTCACCTTCGTCCACACGAGACCCGGAGCCCCAGGCTGCCGTCTCCGGAGGGGACACTCACATTGTCGTGGCTGAGCATCATGGCCTTCGGGGGGCCTGTGACCGACAGGCTGTAGACCAGGGCGCAGCACTGGTTGGGCTTTTGGGAGTCGATGACCCGGTCCAGCGTGTCTTCCGAGACGCCGTCTGCCAGGTCCAAGAACCCTCTCCACTGCAGAGAGGCGGGGGGGTAGGGGGTGGGGAGGGGCTCATGGTGGTGGTGGCGGGGAGGGGACCCTTGAGCCTGAGACCTCAACCCCCGGGCTACGGTCCCCGGCCCTGCCCTCCCGGTGAGGACCTACAGAATACAGGTTCTGCAGCCGGGTCCGGATCTCCTCCTTGTACTGGACGATGGCCTTGAGGTGTTTCAAGGAGCCCTGGATCTGCCAGATAGCGTGGGGCTCAGCTCGTGCAGGGCAGGAGTGCGGGTCATAGCTGAGCCCCGAGCCCGTTTCCCCAGCACTTCCCCACGGATGGCAAGGGCACTCCCCAGTTTTCTCTGTATTGTGGCAAAATACACAGGAATTTACCATTTTAACCATCTCAAAGTGGACAATTGAGCAGTATTTAGTACATTCACGTGACGCAACCGTCACCTCTGTCTAGTTCCAGAACATTCCGTCTCCCCAAAAGGAAACCTTCAGTGCCCATTAGCAGTGTGTCCACTCATCAATCCACTCTGTCTCTACAGATCGGTCCATTCTGGATAGTTCGTACAGACGGAATCCTACACTACGTGGCCTTTTGTGTCCGGCTTCTTTCACTGAGCATCATGTTTTTGAGGTCCATCTACGTTGGGGCGTGTGTCAGAGCTTTCCTCCTTTTAGGGCCTCGGAACAGTCCAGCGTGGGGATGGGCCACAGTTTATCCGTTTGTTGGCTGGTGGACAGCTGGGCTGTCCCCCTGTTTGGGCTGCTGAGAAGGTTGGTGTACGAGTTTTGGTTTGCACACCTGTTTTCCATTCTCTTGAGTAGACACGTAGGTGTGGGATCGCTGGGTCATACGATAAGTCTACAGTTGGCCTTCTTAGGAGCTTTCCAGGGGGCCCGCCCCAATTTCCCTCCCCCCAGTCACGCACGAGGGCTCCAGGGGCTCCACATCTTCACCAACACTTGTCACCTGCGTTTCTGATAATAGCTGTCTTCGTGGGTGGGAAGTGGCATCTCATGGAGGCTTCTGTCTGCATTTTCCGGATGACTTCAGACATTGAGCATCTTCTCTCAGGCTTACTGGCCATTCGTGTTTTTCTTCTCTGGAGAAATGTCTAAGTCCTTCGCCCATTTTTGAACTGGGTTTTCATCGGTGTGTGTTTTGTTTTTGACCTTGAGGCGTCCTGGACACATTTTGAAGGCAGACTGCATTGGTTTCCTATGGCTGCTAGGATACAACAAGGTCCCGAGTATTGAGCAGCTTGGTCTGGTCTCTGCTTAGAGTCTCATAATCCCCAAATCAAGGCTTGGGAAGGCTAGGTCCCTTCTGGAGGCTCCACGGCAGGATTGTTCATTTGGGAACTGGCTCATTCCAGTTGTCGGCAGAATTCTGTTCCCTGCAGTTGTAGGACTGAGGTCTGCCTGTCTCCTTGCTGGCTGTCGGCCGAGGGCCCTTCTCAGCTTCCAGAGGCCACCATGTTCCCTGGCTCATGGTCCCTTCCTCCATTTTCAGAGCCAGAAACAGGGGGATTGAGTTCCTCTCATGCTTTGAATCTCTCTGCTCTCCCTTCTGCCTTATCTTTCCTGTCTCCAGCCAGAGAAAAGTCTGTGCTTTGAAGGGCTCCTGTGATTATAGGGGACCCACCTGGATAATCCAGGATCATCTCCCAGATGAAGGGCCTGAATCTTAATCCCATCCGTGAAATCCCTTTTGCCACACAAGGTGCCATGATCACAGGTCCCAGGGATTAGGGCGTGGACATCTTTGGCATTATCCTGCTGATCACACCGAGCTAACGGCATTTCCTGAGAGAGAGGACTCAGGAATGGGGCCAGACTTTGGGTCTGAGAAGTTGGAAGGAGGAAGCTGCTATCACCCGAGCTGGGAAACACAGAGGGAAGAGCAGGTTTTGGGGGAAAGATCCGGAGCTTGGGTCTGGACAGGCTGCATCTGAGATGCCTCTTCGGCATCCCAGGGTGATTATTGGGAAAGCGGGAGATAAAAACGTGGGACGTGTCCACACACAGGTATCAGCCGGGGAAAAGATACAGAGCACGGAAAGCAAGCAGTCTGCTGTCCCAGGACTGGCTCCGTGATTAAGGTTCGAACAAGTGAAGAGGAATAAGGAGGAGAGCCGGGCAGTGAAAGTTTCATTATTTACATCATCCTCACCCCATCAGGGGCTCACCTTCCTGGGGGGAAAATGACCCAGGCCACATACCTGGTCACCTGCACAGACGCTGTCTTGGGTTTATTTACTTATTTATTTATTTAATAAACATTAAAAATTTTAATGGTGGTAAAAAAATACATAACAAAGTTTACTATCTTAACCATTTTTAAGCATACAGTTTGTAGTGTTAAGTGTATGTGCATTACTGGGCAACAGATCTCCAGAACTTTCCATCTCCCCACACGGAGACTCTGTCCCCACGAAGCACGGACTCCCCACCCCCTGCCCCAGCCCCCGCTCACACCCTCTCCTCTCGGTCTGTGTGGACGGGACTCCTCTGGGACCTCCTGGGAGTGGGGTCCTGCGGGATGTGTCCTTCTGGGTCTGGCTCCTCTCACTGAGCACAGTGTCCTCGGGGTCCCTCCATGTCGTGGCAGGTGTCAGGGTCCCTTCCTTTTTAAGGCTGAATAATATTCCATTGTCTGGATGGAGCATATTTTGTTTATTCATTCATCCATCAACGGACATTTGGGTTATTTCCACATCTTGACTACTGTGGATGCTGCCGCTAGGAACTTGAATGCACCAATAAATCTTCAAGGTCTTTCCTTCACTTCTTTCGGATACGTATCTGCAAGTGGGATTGCTGCTACCTCTCAAGTTTTGAGGACTCTCCATGCTGTGTTCTATAGTGCAGTTTCTGTTCTTGCCAACAGAGGCCTGGATTGATTGACGAATAATTTACATGCAGTAAAAGTCACCGTTTTAGGTCTACAGTTTCACAAGTCTTTTTTTAAGATTGATTGATTTATTTTTAGAGAAAGAGAGAGAGCGGCGGGGAGGGGCAGAGGGAGAGAGAGAGAGAGAATCTCAAGCAGACTCCACGCTGAGCATGGAGCCTCACACGGGGCTCGATCTCACGACCCTGAGATCACGACCTGAGCCAAAACCAAGAGTCAGACACTCAACCGACTGAGCCACCCAGGCGGCCCCAGTTCCATGAGCCTTGACAAACTTAGAGCAGTGTGACCACCACCTTAATCAAGATCTGGAATATTTCCATCGCCCCGTAAAGTTTCCTCGGGCCCTTTTGGGGTTAGGCTGGCAGCCACTGCCCTGGATTTCTGTCCCATAGCTTTGCCTTTGCTGGGGGCTTCACATCTATGAACTCACACCGAAGCGGGTAGCCTACCCTCTGGTGTCCTCCCTTCAGCACATTTCAGATGCAGCCACATGATTGCACATATCAGGAGTCCAGTCATTGCTATTGTTTGGTTGGTACGGACGGACCACCATTTGTTCATCCAAATGATAGAAAAACAACTGGATCTTGGTTAGTGGATGTTTGGGCAGTTTTGGGCAATCATGCACAGAACGGCCACAGACACTTCCAGGCGGTGTAGACGCTTGTTCTGATTTCTCTTGGGTACAGACTCCGGAGTGGAAGGTCTGGACCATCTCGCAGGTGTTTGTTACCAAACGGTCAAGCCATTTGCCAAGGTGACTGTACCATCTTGCATTTCTGCCAACAATGAAGGAGTGTTCCACTGCAACCCCATCAACACTTGGTATTGTCCATTTTAAAACCGGAGGCACCCTCGTGGGTGTTTCGTGGTGGCCCTGTCTTTGCGTACGTGCCTCTGTCCACTTGTCATGGGTCCTCTTAGGGTCCCCATTTCCCAGGGTTCAGCTCAGGCTGCAGGACAGGGCAGGGGCTGGTACAGAAGTCTCAGCTGTAGGACCATCACTGGTTCCTTATAGCATAGGGTTACGGGTGCTATATGGGAGGGAGAAGAAGACCCAGAGCCTGGGGTGGCCGACCATGAGTGGGCATTACCCTGACGTCCACCTCCTCTGGGTGCCCCATACGCCCATGGATCTTTCCCCATCCCCTCCCTGGAACAAAGATCAAATAGCAATGACCATCCCATTGACGATCCTATTGACAATAGTGTTAGCATTGAACACTGACCATGCTAAGCTCTGTCCTAGCCCATTACAGGTTTACTTAGTTCATCCTCTGAACCAAACCCATTAGGTAGGTCCTATTACCACTCCCATTTTACAGGTGAGGAACCTGAGGCACCAGGAGGCCAAACACCGTGCCCCATGGCCCGGAGTTAGTGAAGGTGGCCTCTGCGCCATGGAGCCCACGCCCAGAACCACCTCATTTGGATCAGCCCCGCACCCAAGGAAATCCAGGGTTCTCCTGTGCAGTTCCATTAAGATGAAATGTCCAGAACAGGCAAATCCACAGAGACAGAAAGTGGGTTGGTGGTTGCCAGGGGCTGGCGCCAGGGGAATGAAGCGTCCCCACTAATGGGCACAGGGTTTGCTTTTCAGGTGATGGAATGTTCTGGAACCAGAGGTCATGGTTGCACAACAGTGTGTTCACTCAATGCCACTGAACTAAAAGGGGTTATGACAATAAATTGTATATTATGTGCATTTTACCACAATAATTTTTTTTTTTTAAGTGGGAAGAGAGGATCTGCTTACAGTGGGCACATCTAAGTCCCGGTTTGGGGTGTGTTGGGGGTCAGCCCCTGAGCCATCATTGAGCGGGCTCTGACTTCCTCACGCTTGAGCACCTGCTGCGGTCAGCAATGCAAAGGCCATTTGGCAGGAAGAGCACATGCCTGGCACCTCTTAGAGGCCCTGGACCTGCCCATGCATGGAATCCACAGTTCCCAGCTTGTGCGTAACAATGGGATGGTAGGCGCATCGTTCATTGGATCCCTTTTGTTTACTAGGCAAAGTCTGTGCCTTTACCTAAGCTGTGCCCTCCACCCGGCATGCCCTCCTGGCTCCCGCAGGTCCCGGAGTCACTGACCTGGATGATTTTCTGCAACTGCCTGTCATTATCCACCACAAATATGTCCATCTCCGAGCTTTCGGCGATGACCTGGCAGGCTTTTGGGGAGTTGGTGGACAAGATGCCAACAGAGAAGCCTCTGGAAGCAGAACCCAAGAGGTGAGGACCCACTGGTGAATTGCAGGGCTCCCAGGAGGCCGGTTTGGCCAAAGCAGAGTCCCTCGGGCAGAGTACAGAGTGTGGCAGATACCCCCACACACCCACAAAATGCCTTGTTTGAAGGTGGGACTCAGGGACCACTTGTGCGTGGGTCTTGCCCTCCAGGGGTTCCCCAATGGTCTGGACAAGTAGAGGAGGGCCCAATGCCAGAGAATCCTGGGGAGTGGGGAAGGCTTTTGGGGGGAGGGGTCACGGGAACTGGGCTTCACAGGATGTGTATGAGTTCGACAGGTAGAGAGTGTCAGGAAGGGTGAGCTGGCTGGTGCCCAGGGCTGAGCCCTTGACAAATCCCACTGAGCACAGACCAAACAGGAGCCTTAGTCTGCTCCCTGAACTGGGGACTCTTCTGTGAGACCCCTACGGGTTCAAGAGGAGGGATGAGCCTTTGCTGGGCTGGTGGCTTCCTGACTCCATGTACCCCAGGGAGATACCAGGTACCTCTTACCCAGCCATGATAGCACCAATGCTGGCGATGGCCCACTCCTCCGAGTTTAACCCCATGATCCCCACGCCGTGGAAGCGCTCCAGGCCCAGCTGGGGAAGGAGGCCCTTGTGAGGCACGGGCGGGCTCACCTGCCACTTGACCCCGCCTGCCCGGGAGCCTCAGGCTGAGAGCCCTAGGCTCCCTTTTCTCTGTTGACCATTTGTGCTTCTGTTTGCTGATAAAAATAGCCCATCCCCCATTACAAGCTACCCCATATTCATCTTGAGCAGTGGTTCTAAGAGGGATGATTCTGCCTTCCCAGCTGACATTGGGCAACATCGGGAGACATTTCTGGGGAAGGGAATGGTGCTGACATCGAGTGGGTGGGCACCAGGGAGGCTGAGAAACATCCTCTAATGTACAGGACAGACCCCTCTGCAAAGAATGATCCAGCCCCAAGTGTCGACAGTACTGAGATTAAAAAACCCTGAGATAATACAAACAAAATGCTCTCCCTCCGACATTTTTATGAATAAATATTTGACAAAATCAGGACAGTACTATGCCTATATTATCTTAACGCGCCATTGTTCATAAAACCATACATCTTATTTTCCCAGCCTTTAAATATTTCTCTATGGTATCAAATATAATACCTTTATGATATTGTGTAATATAGAGATGTCATAATTTAGGGGCGCCTGGGTGGCTTAGTCGTTAAGTGTCTGCCTTCGGCTCGAGTCATGATCTTGGGGTCCTGGGATCGAGTCCTGCATTGGGCTCCCTGCTCAGCGGGGAGCCTGTTTCTCCATCTGCCTCTGCCCCTGCCCTCTCCTCCCACTGCTTGTGCTCTCTCTCTCAAATAAATAAAACCTTTTTTTAAAAATGTCATAATTTAGTGACCCCCCACCCTTTATTGGTTGATACTTAGGTAAGATCCTTTTCCCCCTCCGTTTTTATTAGATAAAATGTTGGGAGAACATCTGCATAGCTCAAGCTCTGTTTACCCACATGATTATTTGTGCTAATGTCTGGATTGACTTAAAAATTCAAAACAGTGCACCATTCATCCATCCTGGCAGAACCAGGGGATGTCACCACCTGGCCCCCAGGTGGGCCTTTCCCCTCCACTCTAGACTCTCGGGTACAACTGCCCACTCCTGGTGTCCTTGTCTAAACAGGGCATCACAAACTCAACATGGCCCAAACAGAATTGTTGATATTACCAACTCCGCTCTGCCGACCCTGCCTTCCACAATCTCAGTTAAAAGCAGTTCCTTCAAGTTGCCCAGGCCAGAAATCTTGATCATCCTCAGCACCCTTCGTTCTTCCAGACACTCAGTTCATCAGGAAATGATGTTGACTCTGCCTTCAGAATCTGACCACTTCTCATCCCCTCCCCTGCTACCATACAGGTCCCAAATCTTCATCTCAGCCTCAACTGGTCTCTCTTTTTCCACCCAGTCTGTTCTCTCTGCAGCAGCCACACAGTGCTTGTGAGCACTCAACTCTGGGCACATCCCTCTGCTTAGAGCCCTCCATGGCTCCCACCTCACTCCTGGAAAAAGCCCCACAAGGCCCAGCAAGACCTGTCCCCATTACCCCCTGCCCTCACCACCTTCCTCTCTCCCCCTCATTCACTCTGCTTTAGACACATGGGCCTCTTTGCTGTTCTGCCAACATGCCAGGCACTGTCCTGCCCCAGGGCCTTTGCACATTTGTTTCCACTACCTGTAACACTTATCCCCAAATACTCACTTAGATTCTCCCCTCCCGGTTGTTTAAGTTTTGTTGAAATACCATTCTCAGAAAGGCTCTTAATAGCCACCATAGGGTAAGATTTCAACCCCCACCCCAACTCATCTACCCCTTTCTTTTCTTTAGTTTTCTCTGGATCATTATCTACTTCCTGCATACTTGTTGACTGTCAAGTCCCTAGAGGTCTCTTATCCCCTTTCCTAATCTGATAAATGGGTATTCCTTCATTGAAGACATACCCAAGGGGCTAGATTCTGGGGGCCTGCAATGAATGAGGCAGTTTGGCCCCTTGCCCTCATGAACTGACCAACTAAACAAATAAATTATATAACCAAGTAGTCATGTGGCTATGAGAACTGGGCAGAAGCTTTCAAGGAGGCTATGATAGAAAGTGTTGGGGGGTTGGTGAGTCTGGGGATCCCGGGTGATCACGGATGACCTCACTCAAAAGATGAGACATTGGAGGGGCGCCTGGGTGGCTTAGTCAGCTGAGTGTCTGACTTGTGATTACGGCTTAGGTCATGATCTCAGTCAGGGTCGTGAGATCAAGCCCAGGATCAGGCTCTGCGCTCAGCGGGGAGCCTGCTTGAGAGTCTCTCTCCCTCTGCCCGCCCCCATAAATAAATAAATCTTGAAGAAAAAAAGGATGAGACATTGGAGAAGAGACACATTAACAACAACTGCCATCAGAATATAGCTAATGCTGATGTAATGCTGTGTGAGCCAGAGGCTGTTTGATAAACTCCCTGAATTCTTTTTTTTTTTTTAAGATTGTATTTATTTCCTTATTTGAGAGAGAGAGAGAGAGAGATAGAGCACAAGCAGGGGGAGCGGCAGAGGGAGAGGGAGAAGCAGGTTCCTCGCCGAGCAGAGAGCCTGACGCGGAGCTCGATCCCAGGACCCGGAGATCATGACCTGAGCCAAAGGCAGACGCTTCACCCACTGAGCCACCCAGGCGCCCCAACTCTGTGAATTCTTGTGGCAAACCCTTGTGCTATAGGGGCTTTTATATTTTATTTTATATATTCGTACATAAAATGCTAATAGAACACGCTTTATGCTAAATTTAATGAAGTATATAATGGGTATGTCCCTATATAACTTTTATATTTTTAATATCATACATATATAAAGAGATATAAAAATCCCCACTTTACAGATGGGGAAACCGAGGCACGGCGAGGCTGAGTAACTAAAAAAAGAAGTTTGAAACACAGCTGACACCAAGTATTCCGTTAGCTTCGTGGGTACAACACAGTGATTCCTCAAGTCTATACATGATGCTATGCCCACAAGTGTAGCCTAAGTAATTTTTTAACAAAAAAGCCACAGGCATCTAACTGCACCTCACGGTGAGCGAGGTTGAGGGACGTGAGCAAGAATGGGCAGGTAAGCGCGGACCCGGAGGAAAGGACGCGCGCACAGGGTGGCCGGGCAGGAGGGGCGCTTCGGGAAAGACCAGTCGGTGAGTGGCGCGCAGGCGCGGTGGCGCGGGCGCAGCAGTGCGCAAGCGCAGAGGGGCGGGCGTGCGCGCACGCGCGCGCAGGCGCGGAAGGGCACGTGGTACCTTGAGGAAGGCTTTGGCGGCGCGCCGGCACTCTTCGTAGTACTCGATGTAGGTGAGCAGGTGCCAGCCGTTCCTGTGCTTGGAGCCGAGCGCGATGTAGTTGGCGTACTTGATGGCCGTGTTCATGACCATGTCGTGCACGGTGATGGGCGCCTGGCTGGTGAAGGCGTCCTCCTGCCGCAGGTGCACCTCGCCGTCGCGCTTTGACGTCCAGTAGGGGTGGCCTGTGGGCAGGCGGGGCTCGGGGGCAGTGAGACGCCAGGTGGGTGAAAGAGGGGCAGGGCTGTGGCCCTGATGGCGGCAGGGCGGGCTGAGAAAGTGGGGGAGGGTGGGAGGGGGGAGAGAGGCATGGCGGACAGAGGGAGAAAGACACCGCCGACGAGGGAGAAAGATGGAAGGGGACAGCGAGCCACAGAAGAGGGCGCAGGGACGCGTGGACAGGCAGATGCGCTGGCCCAGAGGGTGGAGTTCAGCAGCAGCCGCACCAGCGAGCGGGCAGCTCAGTCACAGGCCCACTGCCCCTCCTGTGGACTTCCCGAGGACCAGGCACCTCTGACAACCGGGTCCAGCTTCGCCATCTCCCTCCCCTGCTCCAGCCACCCGGCCAGCCTCCCCCACCACCCTGACGCGGCCTCCGAGATCCTGGGGCTGGCTCACGCACCCTTAGCCAGCCCTGACTGGCTTCTCTGGGGCCCAAAGAGCCCCCTACCTTTGGCTTTACTTTCCGGTTGGTGATCTCTCTCCGTCGGACTCAGTGTTTTGAGTGAGGACATGGTGTGCAGGGTATCTTCGGCCTCTCTTCTTACTGTCTGGGGAGCATCTGGTCTCCTGGGACGGTCATAGAAACACAGTTGCAGTCCAGTGGAGGGCGGGGAGTGTCCAGCTGTGGGGAGGCACAGGGGTCCCACCTACTCATGGGGGTGGTCAGGGAAGGCTGCTCTGAACAGTGGGTAGGAGTTGATCGGGCAAAGAAGGGAGGGAGAAACATCTGAGCAAAGAGAGTAATGCAATGAAGCCCATCGGGGCTGGAGTATAAGGAAAAGTGGGGGAAAAGAAGGAAATGAAGCAAGATAGGCGGTGAGGGTGGGATGAGCATGGGGTCTTGCTGGCTGTGTTAGTAAAACATTGCTTTCTGGTACCTTCTGTGTCCATCCCCCACCCAGTATGCAGACTGGTTGACCCCTGGCGGGAGCTGAAACATCTCAGCTCCCAGCCCCTGCCTTCCACCCATGACACATTTTCACCCTTCTCTGTCGTCAGGGAGGCTGTGCCCACTTCTGTCTCCCAGTTCTTTTTATCAGCTTTGGTCCCTCCCTCTAGCCATAGGGGGAGCAGTCTCTAGACTGGACATCCAGAATGTTCCTGCCTGTGGCCGGCCTTTGTGACCTCATTGTAGATTCCGTAGCCTGGAGCCATGATGGTGACATGGCCTGTTGCTGCTTGGCAGAGGGGCCGAGGTCATAGGGGCCAGGGGTCTACCCCCACGGCCAGTGGTTCCCAAGGTGACAGCTCCCAGGGAGGAGCCGACAGCAAAGTCATGGGTTTAAGGCTGGCAGCTGGAGGGACTCCATAGTCCCTGCCCCTTGTTGTTGGCTTTGGGTGACAAAGTTCACAGGGGGACCACAGAGGGAGTAGTGAGATGGAGGAGGCGCCGTGGAAGGCATGATGTCACGGAGGCCAGGGAGTGTGTCAAAGAGCCCATTAAGGTCGGCAGAACCTGAGGCTCCCAAAAGGTCAAGAAGGACTTTGAGTCGCTGTGCCTGGGGGATCATGAACTCATCTGTCCGTTAGGCACAGTCTGGAGCTAGAATAGTCTCCCAGATGGGCATACAGCTGCATTTTCATGTATTGTGTTGGATGCTATTGAGGTTGATAAGCCAAAAAGTCATTTAAAGGCCTCCCTGGTTCCTCAAAAAATCAAACACAGAGTTACCATATGACCCAGCAATCCCATTTCTGGGAATATACCCAAGAGAATGGAAAGCAGGGACCAGAAGAGATGTTGCACATTCACGTTCCCAGCAGCACAATTCACAGTAGTTGAAAGGAACCCACTGTCCATTGATGGATGAAGGATGAGCACAATTTGGTCCATGCACACAATGCGGTATGATTCAGCCTTAAAAAAGGAAGGCCATGGGGCACCTGAGTGGCTCAGTCGTTAAGCGTCTGCCTTCGGCTCAGGTCATGATCCCAGGGTCCTGGGATCGAGCCCCGCATCGGGCTCCCTGCTCCGCAGGAAGCCTGCTTCTCCCTCTCCCACTCCCCTGCTTGTGTTCCCTCTCTCGCTGTGTCTCTCTCTGTCAAATAAATAAATAAAATCTTAAAAAAAAAAAAAAAAGGAAGTCCGTGCTGACACCTGCTACAATGTGGATGAACCTCGAGGACATTGTGCTCAGTGACATAAGCCAGACACAAAAGGACAAATCCTGTCTGATCCCACTCATGGGAGGTACTTGAAGTAGTCGGCCTCATAGACACAGAAAGTAGATTGGTGGTTGCTGGAGTGGTTGCCGAGGTTCCAAGTCTTGATTGATTTGGGAGTGAGTCATATGAGGGGGAATACCAGGTGGTTTCTGGGGCCAGCCGTGGGAGCCTCAGCTTCCTGCTTTGGCCAGCAGTCTCCTGAATCAGCAGCTTCTTGGGCATATGCAGTTTCCCCGAGCAGAGCAGGGGCAGCGTGAGTCCACCATCAGCCACTGTTGAGATGAGCCTTCTCAACCGGGGAACTAGGAGTTGTTCCTGAGCATGCTCTTCCAGCCCTATGAGCGATTCCCTCTACTCTCCAGCTCTTCGGAGCTCTCATTGACAAAGCATAAAATTCACCCATTGTAAGAGTCCAGTACAATGATTTTTTTTTTCATTTAAAATTTTTTTTTAAGATTTTATTTATTTGCGAGAGAGACAATGAGAGAGAGCATGAGAGGGAGGAGGGTCAGAGGGAGAAGCAGACTCCCTGCCGAGCAGGGAGCCCGATGCGGGACTCGATCCCGGGACTCCAGGATCATGACCTGAGCCGAAGGCAGTCGCTTAACCAACTGAGCCACCCAGGCGCCCCCAGTACAATGATTTTTAATAAAAATCATACAACTGTGAAGCCATCACCATAATCACCCTGAAAAGTTCCCATGTGCCTGTGTGAGACTGACCATGCTCCTCACACCAGCCTCGGGCAACTACGGATCTGCTGTCCCCATCGTTTTGCCTTTATTAGAAATGTCATATAAACGGAGTAATACAATGTGTAGTCTTTTGTGTCTGACTCCTTCCATGCAGCATAAGTTCATCTGCATGTCTCAGTTGTTCATGCATTTTTGTGGTTGAGTAGTGTCCCATTATTTGGATGGTACTGTGCTTTTGTTTATTGATTCTTCAGTTGGTGGACATTGGGATTTTCTCCTAGCATTTGGTGATTATGAATAATGCTGCTATGAACATTTGTGGACAAGCTTTTGTGTCATTTCTCTTTGGAGAAATGCTGAATTGTTGGGTCATATAGTAACTCCATGTTTAACATTTCAAGAAACTTTCTAAGCTGCTTTTCAAAGTGGCCATGCTATTTTGCATTCCCACCGGTGATGGATATGGGGTCTCCTTTCTCCAGATCCTCGCGGACACTCGGTATTATCAGATTTAAAATTTTTAGCCATCCTGGGTAGTGTAAAAGTGCTATCTCCTTGTAGTTTTGACTTGTATTTCCCTGATGATTAGTGATATTAAGCATCTTTTCACATGCTTGGTGACCATTTGTCTTTAGAGAAATATCCAATCAAATCCTTTGCCCGTTTCTAAATTTAGCCATTTGTCTTTTTATTGTTGAGTTGTAAGCGTTCTTTACATATTCTGGTTACAAGTCCCTTAGCAGATACATGATTTTTTCAGAGTTTATTTATTTGAGAGCAAGAGAGAGGAAAGCACACAGAGGGAGAATAAGCAGACTCCCTACTGAGCAAGGAGCCCAATGCGGGACTCAATCCCAGGACCCTGGGATCATGACCTGAGCCGAAGGCAGATGCTTAACCGACTGAGCAACCCAGGCGCCCCATAGATACATGATTCTTAAATACTTCCGTCTTTTCAGTTTCAAGGTTGACATTTATTTGACAGTATGTTTTGAAGGGCAAGAGTTTTTAATTTCGGTGAAGTCCGGTTGTGTCATTTCTCTTTTATGGTGTGTGCTTTGCTATCATGTCTAAGAAATCTTTACCTAATCCAAGGGAACAAAGATTTTCTCTTTCTTTACCCTAAAGTTTTGTAATTTGGCTTTTGTATTTAGGTGTATGATACATTTTGAGTTAGTTTTTGTGTGTGGCATGAGGTGAAGGTCTGTGTTCTCTTGTTTTGTTTGTTTTTGGCATATTGTTCCAGCATTATTTATTGCAAAGACTGTCCTTTCTCCCATTGAACTGCTGTGGCACATTTATCAAAAACTAGTTGGCCATAAATGTGAGCTTTCATTTCTGCACTCTCTGTCTGATTGATCTTTTTTTTTTTTTTTTAAAGATTTTATTTATTTATTTGAGACAGAGAGAAAGAGAGAGAGAGCACATGAGAGGGGGGAGGGTCAGAGGGAGAAGCAGACTCCCCGCCGAGCAGGGAGCCCGATGCGGGACTCAATCCTGGGACTCCAGGATCATGACCTGAGCCGAAGGCAGTCGCTTAACCAACTGAGCCACCCAGGCGCCCTCTGTCTGATTGATCTTATACCACACTGTCTTGGTCAATAGCTTTATGGAAAGTCGTGAAGATGAAAAGTCCTGCATCTTTGTTCTTTTATTAAAGGCAAGGATCTGGTGGATGGAGGGACAGTAAGAGTAAGTCGCTATGGGAGACACGGGGATTACAAGGACTCTGAACAGGCAGACTACTTATGGCAGCATGGGAGGGCTTATGAAAAACAGGCTCCGAGTTCAAATTCTTATCTCAAAGCATGTGCAGAGAATCCGTACTATGGCTGCTTTCATTGATTTCTTCTGCCAGCTGTAGGTTGCTGAATTATAACGTGGTATGAATTCACAGCCTCTCCAGATCTTTGCATGAAAGGTAGGGCATTATTTGAGTTAACGGTACCCTGAGAATGGAAATACTGGAATGGTGTAATTTGGGAGGAAGACTATACGATTTTGAGTGCCCTGAACTTTTATTAATTTAATTTAATTTAATTAACTTATTTATTTTTCAAGTTTTTATTTAAATTCTAGTAAGTTCACATGTGGTGTAGTTTTGGTTTCAGGAGTAGAATTCAGTGATTTATCACTTACATAGAATACCCCGTGCTCATCACATCATGTGCCCTCCTTAATGCCCATCACCCATTTAGCTCAGCCCCCCACCTACCTCCCCTCTAGCAACCCTCTGTTTGTTCTCCATGGGTAAGAGTCTCTTATGGTTTGCCTCCCTCTCTCCTTCTCTTTTTTTTCCCCCTTCCCCACACGTTCATCTGTTCTGTTTCTTAAACAAATGAGTGAAATCATATGGTATTTGTCTTTCTCTGACTGGCTTATTTCTCCTAGCATAATACATTCTAGCACCATCCATGTCCTTGCAAATGACAAGATTTCATTCTTTCTGATGGATG